GTCAGGAGCGGCAAGGGGGGCCAGAGCGAGGCCGACTCCTCGGGTGGTGGGGCCCTGGGAGCAGGCAGGGCTAATCCTGCTCAGTGCCCTTGGCGGCTGCCCTCTCTCTGTCCAGGGCACCCGTGAGCTCCGAGTCGCGCTGGCCCCGCCCTCGATTCTTCTCTGGACACCCCTGATCAGGTCACAGCGAAGGACTGGACCTCACCACTCCCCCACTGCCCACCGCCACCCTGCTCCAGGCTCGGGCCTCTCTGGTCACTGCGTCTGCCCAGGCACTTGCATCTCTGCCCAAGTCCATCCCCACGCAGCAGCCAGGGCCCTGCCCACTGCCCACCCACCCCGGCCCTCCAGACCACGCCCGCTCCTGTTGCATTTAGAGCAGGACCCAGTGCCCCTGCATGGCCCGCCGGGCTCTCCGCTCTGTCCTTCCTGCCTCTTGGCCTCACTGGCCATCCCCCCACCCCGCCAACCCCCACAGAGCGCCCCTGGTTTGGAGAAAGTGCTCGGGGCTCTGGCGGCTGGTCATTGGCTCCCCCTGCCTCCTGGCCAGCCCCGTCACAGCAGGCCCCTGCTGCCCCAGGGGCCCACTTTCCTCCTCCCCACCCCGGGCAGCCATCTCAGCCATCGCCCTTCCCGGAAGGTCCTCTTCTTTCTGTGCAAACCCATGAAGCCCGGCTCAGCCTTGGTTTTCTGAAATGGTTCCACTTTCACAGAATCGGGGCCATTTCGAGAAAAGGGGTCTGTCCCGGGTTCTCTGTACTGGCCTGGGCTCTGGCTTCTGCCCTGGAGAATCTTCCCGTGAACAAGCTCAAGCCACTTAGGGGACAGAGATCTGGCACCAGTTGGTGTAAGCCACGCCTACCTTGATCCAAGGTGGTCCACGCCGGAGGAGAAGCAGCCGGCCAGCGCTTCCAGGTCATAAGCGGCCACTCTCTGGAGGTCATAGTGAACCCATGTTCTCATGTGTCGTACTGGAAAGAACTTAGGCTTTGGAGACAGGCTGATTTTGAGTCAACCTCTTACTGGCTGTGTAGTCTTGGGCGAGTTACTGAACCTCTCTGAGGCCTTGGTTTCTTGAGATAGATTTGGGGTCTAGTAATTCCTGAATACTTCAGATTTTCAGTTTGACACTTCTTAAAATGAAGTGTGGTGTTGACAGCCTTCCATCACTGTAACAAATGCCTAGAATAATCAATTTATGAAGAGAAAAAGCTTCCCTTGACTCATAGTTCTGAAGGTTTCAGTTCGCAGTTGGCCCCTCCTTTTGGGACTGTGGAGGCAGCTCACGGAGGGACGTGTGGCTGCACCTTGGCTGGGCAGCAAAAGGGAGAAAAAGAGGAAGAGACTGGGGTCCCGCAATCCCCTGCAGAAACACACCTCCCAAAGCCTCCCACTAGGCCCTGCCTCCTGAAGTTCCCCAGAGTGCCAAGCTGGGGACCAAGCCTTGAGCGCATCACCTTTGGGGCACACTCCAGACCCAAGCCAGAGCAAAGTGAAATCCACGCGGCTCTGCTGGACCTTCTAGGGTCTCCTAAGCCGAGCTCCATGGAGTGGAAATGGCATTCTCCGCTGGTCACCGTCCGCGATGCAGCCTGCTTCCACTTGGATGATGCCTCCCCACTGGGGGCTGAGGTGCTGTGTTTGGGGGTACAGTTCCATTTTTTCTTTTTCAGTACTGAGGGTTGGGGTGCTTTCCCACGGAGCCACACCCCCAGGCCCCCTTCAGTTTTAGTTTGAGACAGGGTCTTGCCACGTTGCAGAGGCTGTCCTTGAACTTGGGATCTTCCTGCCTCAGCCTCCCGGGTCGGTGGGATGACAGGCGTGTGCCCGGAGGTTCATGGCCGCTGTGGAGTGCCCTGGAAACACGTTCTCCTCAGACTTGGGGGCACTGAAGCCAACTCCCGCCACACGGAGTCCATGAGGGACAGACCTGCCCTCCTTCAGGTCTGTCTGCCGGTCCCCCTACTCATCCTTGTAATCTTTTCTTGCATTTCAGAGTAAGTCATGGGGTCTCCCGCAGCCCCCGCGCATACCTGGGCCGGCAGTTCATCAGCTGAAGGTGGAGATTCTTTTTACTCACAGGCCTGCATTTGAAAAAAGAAAAACTTTCCTTCCCTGGGGATGACCCGGGACAATGAGTGGACCCCCGGCCTCACTTGGAGGCCCGGGTGTTGAAAGGCGCTAGAGGGCCCCTTGTTCCCAGGGAAGAGTGGCCCTGGCTGACGTCTTCCCAGCTGTGCGGTCTCGGGGCTCAGTGAGGCTGCAGCACCTCACCTGGCCACGTCTCGAGGAAAGCACCTGTGTCTAGGGTTTGAGGGCAGAGGCCCGACTCTGGGGTGTCGGGTGCACTCGGTGACCACTTCCAGGAGCTCTGTGGGTCCAGTTAACTCGCAGGAGGAGAGCGAGGCGCTCGAGGAAGAGCGTGCCCAGCAGTTCCCATCAGGCCCTGTCCTGCGAGCCCCAGGCGAACACAGGCATGTCCCCACGGGTGCAGGGCTTGGGGGCAGTTTCTGCTCCCGACATGAAATGACACTGGGGAAAAATCACAGAGAACGGGTTACAAGAACAAGGGCCTGTGGGGACAAGGTCTCTTCAACTCCCCCTTCTATAGGAGCCTGTTTTCAGTCACCATGAGGCCTGCTGTGACCCTTGGCACAGGAAGGGCTCAGCGGTGGCAGCCACTGCTGTTATGGAGGTCACTGTGTGGCCCCCTTCTCAGGGCAGCAGGGTTCGCCTCTGTCCCTGGAAGTCTGGGCATATAGCCTCGTCTTAGCTGCGAGGTTGGAGCAGGGAGCGGGAACCCTCTCCAGAGCGCCCCTGAGGACACCTGAGGCCCGGTGGGGAGGAGGGCGGGTCCCCATGGAGGGAGGCTCTCCCATGTCGTGTGTCACAGACCGAGGTGTCTGCTCCTGACAGTAATTTGAACCCGTGTTGCAACGCCTGGAGCTGCCCCGGGTGGAGGTGTCTTGCTTTGGCTACACAGAGCTGCCCTGGAGCCCGGGAAAGAGCTCACAGGGGTCTTTCAGGGGCACACGCTCTGTTTCTGTTTTACAATTGAATTCACTGCCCACATTTCTAGAGGTGGAGAGTCTACGTTAAAATGTCTTGCAAAATCGGATCTGCAGGGCGGGCCCGCCTTCCCGGGGGGCAACAACTAGCCGGGTGCGAGGGACCCAGGAAGCCATCTGAAGGCCAGTTTGTCACAGCCACACCAGGGTTACTGCCTGGCCACTGTGGGCATCTGCACTTGAGACCTCTGGGGTTGCTGTGACGAAGACAGACTCAAGTATGCACCGTTAAGACAAGTGAATCGCGTAGGGCAGTGGTTCTCAGTGGGACAGTTCTGCTCCCCAGGACAGCAGCAGTGTCTGAAGGTGGACCGTCACAACTTCAGGACGGTGCACCTGGCGTCTCCTGGGTGGAAGACAGGCAGCATCTCATTAAGGGGTTCTTCTTCCTGCCCTGGATGGTCCAAGCCACCCTAAAACGGACCGTCTCAAATAGTGAGTAAATAACAGAGCACAAACACTCAGAAATATGTTTGCAGAAAAGCAGCCCCTGATACATCTAGTCCACACGGAGCTGGAACTGGACAACGGCCAGTGGCTCCTCTGGTGGTTTACTTAAAGGAGGTCCGTCAAAGGCAGGGATGAGGCTTCCAGGCCCGAGTCTTGCTGCAGGATGACTTTGATGAATTGCAGTCAGCAGGTTGATTGACATCTTGGCAGGTCACCCGCGACTCAGGTGCTGTGCGGGCCCCAGCACAGCAGGATAGAGATCCACATGGTCACTGGGCAACTGGTCAAAGGAAATGTCCACTGGCCATTCCCAGACACTAGATGTCTATCCACGAGGCTTCCATGTGCGGAGACCCACATGCAACCCACGGACAGCTCCTGAAACACGGGACCTACAGCCCTCTCCCACAAAAGACTTGTCCACCCCAAAATGTCAACAGGGCTAAGGTTGAGAAACCCTGGATCGAGGGCAACGACCAGCCATGCACAGCTCACAGGTGTATTTTAAAACTTGTAAATTAATATGCCCAGAAGTTAATTATTTCTTAGTGCTTTTTAGATTATTTAGAGTTCTTTTACACTAGTGCTTTTACATCTTTTAGTTACATTATTTTCTGAGTGGTTTTTTTGTATTTTTTTCTTATTTTAGATTTTCCTGTTCTTAAGTGTCCTGCAATAAATGTGCATTTCTTTTGTGAAAAATGTGGTTACATACTTATTAACTTTCATTAAAATGTAATAAAATAAAAACATAACAAAAATAGTCCGGTGCAATGGCATAAACCTGTAATCCCAGCAACCTGGAAAGCCCAGGCAGGAAGGAGGATTGCAAATCCCAAGTCAGCCTCAGCAATTTAGTGAAACATTGTCTCAAAATAAAAAATAAAAAAGGGCTGGGGGTGGACTTCAGCGGTAGGGCACCTCTCCTTCAATCCCAGGATGGAGAGGACAGAGGACTGGCTGTCCCTGTCCCCTTTCCCAGCCCTATCTCCTAACTTCTGTCTGAACTTGTTTTTAAGTTGACACGCACTATCTGTAGGACTGGGCAGGAAACAGCTGTTGGGGTCCGCGCACACTCTGTGCACTGCGCAAGTCAGGGAGCGGGTCCCACCAGCGCCTCTTCCATTTAACGTTCCCATTTGTCATTCACGGCCCCGCGGGCCGCTCCTGCACCCCAGGGTCTCCCACTGCGCGGTGCTGAGCTGTGCCGGGCGACGTAGAGGTAGCCCCTCAGCGCCCCGCCCCGGCGCGCCCCGCCCGCAGCCGCAGCGCCTCCGCGTCCTCCTGCCCCTTCACTCCCGTGTGGGGGGCGGTTACTCGGCGGACGCCTGCGCACTCCTGCTGGCGCGAGGGCGGCCCGGCCCGCGACCCCGCCTCCCGAGGCTGGCCATTGGTCGGCCTCGCCGGCGTGCTCCTGATTGGTGGCCTCGGGCCAGGTCTCGCTGTCGATCAAAGTTGGCGGGAAAGCGGCCGCGGCGCGGAATGGCGGCGGCTGCGGACTCGGGCCGCAGCCCGGGGGCCGTGCGGCTGCCGACGTCGCCGCCGTTCAAGGTGCTGGCGGAGCAGCTGCGGCGCGACGCGGAGGGCGGGCCCGGCGCCTGGCGGCTGTCCCGGGCGGCGGGCCGCAGGCCGCTGGAGCTGGCGGCCGTGTGGATGCAGGGCACCGTGGTGGCGGCGGGCGGCGACGGGGCGCGGCTGCGGGACCCGAGCGGGGCCTTCTCGGTGCGCGGCCTGGAGCGGGTGCCGCGCGGACGGCCCTGCCTCGTCCCAGGTAACCCGGCGCCCGCGGCCTGCCTTGTCCCTTTGGTCACCCGTCCTCCCGAGCCGTCCCCAGCCCCGCCTCCCCCGAGCTTTTCCGTTTTCTCTGAAATGGGGTCTGGCCGTGTTGTCCCGGCTGGCCTCAAACTCCGGGGCTCCAGCGAGCCTCCGGCCGCAGCCTCCCAGGAGCGGTGCTGGGAGTGGAGCCGGGTCTTTCACTGCCCCTGAGCTGCCCGGCGGCCCTCCTGAGCTTATCCAAGGAGTAGCAGCATCTCCTGCACATTTTAAAAATGCAGGTCCCTGGGCCACCCAGGCCCTCCTCCTGAGTTCCCTGGGGAAGGACCCCTGGCTGCTGTATTTGGCACCAGCTGCCTCCTCACCGGTGACTTCACTTCTTCCCCATCCTGCCTTGGGAGATGCTGTCCTAGGAAATGCCTGCCTTCTTCCCAGATGTTGGTGTTCAGACCTGAGCTGGCATCAGACTCACCGCACCTTGGGGCATCTGAAAGCCCAGGGGGCTGTCCCTGCCCCAGGGTGTCAGGAAGTCCAGGAGGGACTGGAATGTGCATTTCTGATCAGCTCCCAGGAAGTGCCATGCCACTGGCTAGGGCCGTCGTTGAGATAAGGCAGGCTTGAGCTCTGTGGTCCTGACAGCTCGCCCTTAGCATCTGGCCCAGTGCCTGACACGTGGGTGCTCCAAGAACCCCTTGTTTCTAGGTGACAGGCACGGGCACCCAGGATCTCATCTCACTCCTTTGCTGGGAAGTCAGCTAACCCTCGGACGCGGGGCCGTTCAAGGGCTGGCTGCGATGGAGACCAGGTATATAAGGCCTGCCGGGGAGACAGCCCGGGAGCACGTTTCCCGGAAGATCCTCGATCCTGGTGGAGCTACCATGTGATCTTGGAAGGCTGGTGTGGGGGGGGTGTAAGGTCTCAATGTTGGCAGTTTGAACACACTAGGCCTCTCTCTGTGGCTCCTGCCCCTGTGAAATCGGGCTGCGGGTCTCCATCTCTGGCCCTTCCTGCTTGCCCAGTCTTGCTTTCTAGCTCAGGGCAGGATGGGGCAGTGGTCGGCCTGCGCTGCTCAGGGTCTGACGAGTTGGGCTGAATTCCTAGCCACATTCTTCCCCTCTGAGAAGGCTTTTGCTCTTTCTGGACTTTTTCACCCTCTGTGAAAAGGAGCTAGTCATTCCTTCCTGCTCTGTGGATTCAGTAGGTGGACATGACCTTAGCTCAGCTCCCGCACACACGTGGTGGGGTGGAATGTTGACTCAGTGTGCTCTTGGCCGCAGCCTTAGTCTAGCCCGGGATTGGCAGACCACAGGCTGATGCCTCTTTTCATAGGACCTGTGAACTTACAGCTTTGTTTTCTATTTTTATTTATCTTTTTTTTACTTTTAAAAAAATTTTATAGTTGTAGATGGACAGCATGCCCTTATTTATTTTTGTCTGAGGTGCTGAGGATCAACCCCAGTGCCTCACAAGTGGCAAGTGCTCTGCCACTGAGCCACAGCCCAGCCCTGTCTTTTTACTTTTGAGATGGGCTCTTGCTGTTTTGCTCAGGCCAGTCTTGAACTCTTGGATTTGAGGGACCCTCCTGCCTCAGCCTCCCGAGTGTTAAGACTGCAGGCGCTGGTTTGGTTTTTACATTTTTAAATGGCGGGGAAAAATCATGGCGTGTGCTGGGCACAGTGGCGCAGACCTGAAATCCCAGTGGCTTGGGAGGCCGATGGATGTGAATTCAAAGCCAGCCTCAGCAACAGCAAGCTGTTAAGCAACTCATGAGACCCTGTCTCTAAATAAAATACAAAATAGGGCTGCGGATGTGGCTCAGAGGTTGAGTGCCCCCGAGTTCAATTCCTGGTATCCACCCCCACACACAAAATCATGGCATGTAAGTAGTATATGACAGCCAAATGTCAGAGTGTCCATCCGTGGGGTTTTATTGAAACACTTGTGACTTGGGAAGGCCCAGGGCTGCTGTCCTAAGTAACCAAAGAGCGAGGAGCCTGGGAGAACCTACAGCCTGCAAGGCCTGAGAGATTGACCGTCTGGCCCCTTAGAGAACACGTTGGCAGCCCGTGGCCTTAGACTCTGAATGTGGTCCATGCTGCCTGGTGTCTCGGCCTCAGCAAAGTCCCTTGAAGCAGGTTGGGCAGCACTCCCCCCGCCCTGCACATTCTGGTCCCAGCCCTGGCATAAGCCTGGCGCCCAGTGGGTGCCTCAGTGTTTGAGCAACTCTGGGCCTGAGTGGCTCACCCGCTGGCCTGAATGCCCTCTTGCCAATTTGTGCCGAGTTCTGCTTTACAATCCGGGTCACTGCCTGCGGGGGGCGGGGGGCGGGGAAGTCGGGGGCCACTAAACAGTGCACCGCTGTAGGCATGAGCCGGGTGGTGGAGGGAAACGTCCTTAAACGTTTTAGAGGTGCTGATGGCATCTGCCTGTGGAGCTCTGGGGATGGCGGAGTTGGTATTTGGGTCCCCACACAGGACAGAGCTCGCACCACCCGTGTGGCTGGCCCTGCCACTGCGAGCCTGTGGGGTGTCCTCAGAAGCCTCCAGCTGCGGGGCACTGAGGGCTGCCCCGGTCAGCTCCGGGTCTGTCTGGAGTTCTCGGGGGGCAGCTGTGCAGAGCGCAGCTCAGAGGAGGGAAAGCTGGTCTAGGCCCCAGCGCTCCCGAGGGCTTCCGGGAGGAGGCACCCGGGCACGCGTCTCAGCTGTGTATAGGGACCAGCCCTCCTGGATTGCTTGGGACTCAGGACCCTGGACACTGGACTCTGGTTATCAGAAAGTCACCCTGGGTCTGTGCAGGAGCAGGAGATCGTCAGGCCCCCTCCCCTGGCGTGCAAAGGCCCTGTGGGGCAGCAGTGGAGGGCAGGGGGTCCCCCCCCCCCCATGAGCCTGATGGCTGTGGAAGGCCTGCTTAGGTGGCCTTGAGACTCCCTGCGCGGGGCTGTTGCTCCTGGCTTCTGTCCCTCGGCACGCAGCACGTTCTCTCTAAGGTCAGGAGCTGAGGATGCAGGGCACCCTCGCTGCTCTCGGGGTCTCTCAGTGTGCAGTGGGCTGAGAGACACTCACCTGGATGGCCACCCCAGGTCCTGTGGTGGGCCCTGCTTCTAGCAGGCTGCAGCCACTGAAGGCGCCAAGGTTGGAAGGGATGAGAGCTGACCCGGGAGGGTCACCCCTGGGGAAGCGGAGGGCGCGGCTGGGATGACCACCACTAGTTGGCCATGGTCTGCCTTTCAGCCATCCCCCTAGCCGCGTGCACCTGCAGCAGATCTGGTGGCCTCTCCGGGTCTTCAGGCCTGTTTCTGAGGGTCCCATCTCTGCCAGCTCTTGGGGTCATCCTGCAGGGTTTTAGAATGAGCGTCTTGTCACCCGGGACCCAGCTGGAACCCGAGCGCCTGCCAGCAGTGAGCAGGGCCAGGGTCGCCGGCCTGGCTGCCTGCAGGCGGCCTCGATGGGGGCTGGTGGGGGTGGCAGTGCGCCCGCCCTTCCCGCTGGGTTTGGGGATTTTCTTGACACAGTCGCCTTCTGTGTGGGTTATGACCAGCCAAGTTTTGCTTTCAAGGAGACTTGCTTCCCCAGGGAGTGGGAAGAGGGCACGGCTGATGTCATAGAGAGTCCCTGTGGCCGCTGCCCTGCCCCCGATCGCCCATGTGTGCCCTGCTTGGTGGGGCCACTGGAGCAGCGGCAGCCTGGGGCGTGCTGGTGACGCTGCCCGACCCTTGGCAGCATCCAGGGGGAATTGGAGTCTCCTTTTAGCCTTGGGGAGGGGCTCTGCAGAAAGAGGGCCGTCCTGCAGAGTCCAGGCACGTGTCTGTGGCTGCCCTTTGGCATCCGTCAAGAGCCAGACTCGAGGAAAGCTGGGTTTTCTCCCCTGCCTTGGGGCCGTCTGTCCGACCCGACCCCCCTGGGGTGAGTCCTTCCCTTCCCGCAGCAGGACGCCCCTGTGCCTGACAACTGCGTCCCCGTGAAGCCAGAGGCCGAGACCTCGAGGTGGCTGATGTACACGTGTGTTCCTGGTCAGCTCGGATACCTGCTCCTCGGGGTTCTGTGGTTTTCCCGTGGGGGGTGCTGGGGATGGAACCCAGGCCTCGTGCACTCTGAGGCAGGTGCCCCACGTCTGGGGGACGGGGTCTCCGTGGGCTGCCTCCCCTTTCTAACGTGGACTTCACTGCCAGCCGTCTTCTCTCCCAGGGAAGTATGTGATGGTGATGGGAGTGGTGCAGGCCTGCAGCCCCGAGCCCTGCCTCCAGGCCGTCAAGATGACCGACCTCTCCGAGAATCCCCTCCACGAAAGCATGTGGGCGCTGGAGGTGGAAGATCTACACCGCAGCATTCCTTAGGCGACCTTGTGACCTCCATCCAGTGACCTCTGTGTCCTTAAAAACGTCTGCTGCTCTGTGATTTCAGCTCTAACCAGCGACCTTCCTGACGACCTTCCTGACGACCTTGACGCAGTGCTTCTACTCTCAGGAGTTTCTTGGGGACGCTGCTTTTGTGGACTCCGTGGGCAGGAATTGGAAATGCCCGGTCCCTGCCCTAACTGGCCTCTGCTGTAGGCCTGGGTTTGCTGAGGAAAAGCACGTGTGGGTTTGTTTTTTCTTTTTCTTTTTTGTGTGAATCTCTCTCTCAAGCACACAGTGATCTCGTGTTGCATTTCCAAGTTCTGCAAGTGAGGGTACTTCTCGCGACTGCTGGCCCCTGTTTTATGATGCAGAACTTGAATCTAGTCATTGCCCATGTGACCAGAGTGTGGTAATGAGCAGGAAAACAGACGGAGGGAGGAGGACGCTGCGGCCCCTGTCTCTCCGCTGACAGCTCCGCGTCCAGTGACCTCTGTGTCCAGTGTGCAAGTCCAGTGCATTTTGTCTCCTTGCCGTGCTGGGAGGGAGCCCAGGGCCTCGCGCATGCTCAGCGGCTGCTCTGCACGGACCACGCCCCAGCCCTGAATGGCCCTCAGAGCCCAGCTCTGTCCCTGCTGCGGGCACAACGCAGACGTTTCAGCTCCGTTTCCCTCAGATGTGGAAGGTAGTTCCGTCCTCCTCCACTTGGAAATGCTGCGATATGGTCTGAATTTCTCGCTGAAACTAAAGAACCAAGACAGAGCAGCTCACAGACTCCACCAAGCGGGAGCGTCGCCCTGGGGGACAGCGAGGGCAGCCTGGGCTTAGAGGGCGTCTTTTGTAGGAAAGACTCTGTCGGGACCTACTGTGTGTGGGGCTCTGCTCCCTGCCAGGGCCGCGGTCGTCTAGAGTGTGAATGCCACGGAGTGAGCTGTGTGCAGGTTGCTGTGGGGTTCGCCAGGGTCAGCGACTTTCTACCACTAATAAATGCTGTGTGCTACGTGTGTTTTAAATGACTGTTTGTAAGGCGTTTAGGGGATGCTGAACAGTTGTGCGGAGAGAGCAGGGTTCTCCGTGACGAGCACCTGCCGCTGGTCTGGTCAGTTGCTGACTGCCGAGTCCCTGTCTGCATTGGGTTCCCTCAGGTACCTTCTTTGGGTCTCACCCTAAACTCTGGGCTCCTGGGTCCCTCCCGTCTCTGCCGAGCGTCCCCTTCCGCAGGCTGTCGCTTGGTGGGCCGCACGGCCAGTGGTTTTCAGGCCGCTCTCCTGCAACACGCAGTTAGGCTCCCTCCAGGTCTCTCTGCAGCTCGGCAGCGTGAGGGGGACCCGCCTGTCTGTCCCGTCCACGGGTGGAGGGACATGGTGTTGGATTCCATCCTGGACAGTCATGAATGGAGCTGCTGAGCGGGTTTCCCTGCTCGTGGAGGTGGACACCCAGAGCTCAGTCCTGGGCCACAAGGCGAGTCTGTGGCTACCTTGTGAGAAACTTCCAGACTTCCCAGTGGGGGTGTCACCCTCATTCCCACCAGCACCGAGCAAGCGTCCTCTTGCCTCATCCTCACCAGCATTGGTTAGGTTTTGGATTTGCTGTTTTTAAACTATATAACCTTTTCTTTTCTTTTTAAAGATTTTTTAGATGGACACATACCTTTACTTTATTATTTTTTTGTGTTGCTGGGGATTGAACCCAGCTCCTCACACTGCTAGGCGAGCGCTCTACCCTGAGCCCCAGCCCAGCCCGACGTTTTCTTCTTAGAGACGGGTGAGTTGGGTGTTGTTTTATTACTGATCTGGGTTTGTTGACTGCTTGAAGCTGCTTCTCAGCTGGCTCGAGTTCACAGTGTGGGCTTTTCAGTCAGTATCGCTGTATTTAATGGGAGAGCTGCAGCTCCATCCATCTGAATTGAGCCCTTCCTCTATGCTGAACTTTTTGGTGGGTGTGAGCAAGTTACCGAACCTCTCTGTACTTCAGGTTCCTTTGTAAAACAAGAATCCCTGTCAGCTTGCGGCACTATCCTAAGGAATAACCGTGTGTGTAAATCACCTTTATATAGTACTCAGTATACAGTGGGCACCAAATCACCGTTGCTGCCAGCAGCAATAAGTGTTTGCTTACATTCATCAGTTGCCTGTAAGGTATCTGAGCATTTTTTTTAGATTTTACAACATGTTTTTAATGACTTTATTTAGTATTTTACGTGGTGCTGAGGATCGCACCCAGTGCCTCACGTGTGCAAGGCAAGTGCCTGCCACCCAGCCCCAGCCCCAGCCCTGTGTGTGCATTTTTAAAAAGAAACTTAGATCTACAGAAAAATTGCAAAAATTGTACAGTTTCTATATTTCTGCATCTAGCTTTCCTCATTAACATCTCATTAAGTGTGGCACATCATTATAATTAATGACCCGGGTTGACATGCTTTTAATCTTAAGGATATAGTTTATTCAGATTTTTTTCCCTAACATCTTATTTTATTTTATTTTTGGTTCCAGGGATTGAACCTGGGGTACCTAACCACTCAGCCGCAGCCCCAGCCCCCTTTTTCTTTCAACATATATATATATTTTATCGACAGACAGGTCTCACTGAGTGGCTTAGCACCTAAGTCTCTGAAGCTGGCTTTGAACTCTCGATCCTCCTGCCTCAGCGTTCCCAGAGCCCCACCAGGACACACGTTACATCTGGTCATCGTGACTCCTAGGTTTCCCTGACTGAGCACTGGATTGCTTTGGCTCCCTTTGGGGTTTTATTATTAGGTGCAGTGCTGTTATCGTCATTACGGCCAGGGCCGCACACTTAGTAGGGAAGTAAGTGCTCTCCCATGAAGCTAGACTCCCAGCCAGAAATGCACGCATGTGTAGGTGTGGGTACGCACACGTCTGTGTTGTTAGTTTGGTACTGAGGATCCAACCCAGGGCACCGTACCACTGAGCCACAACCCAGTTCTTTTTATTTCTTACTGTGTCACAGGATCTCACTAAGTGCCTGAGACCTCGACCTTGTGATCCTCCCGCCTTGACCTCCCGAGTTGCTGGGATGGCAGGTGACTTGGCAGGCGCCACTGCACCCAGCCAGAGATGTGACTGAGTAGATCTTGGTCACAGAACTCCTGGTTTTCACCCAGAGTGGCCCTCCCCTGCAGCCCGCCCACCGTGTTCCTCCTTATCTGAAACCTGCTTTTCTGCTAGAAAAGTGGCCGAGCTGCTGAGAACCTCCTGAGCCGCGTCCTGCCCCGGTCGCCCACCTGACCTGCAGTGACAACCCCCGATGAGAACGTGCTGGTGGGTGGCACCGATGCCTGGGCATTGTAGCTGAGTGTGTTGGGTGGAGGAAGGAGGGTTCTGTCTTTTCCAACTGTCCCCCAAACAGCTGGTGGCCCCAGGGCTGGCGGTGGCCCGCTGGGCGCAACAGCCGCGCTGTGCGGTCTCTCTCAACAGGACGTTTCCTCCTTGATATCACCAGATGAAAACGCATCCGGAGGCTTCAGTTTTGGGTGCCAAATCAAAGCCAGCTCAGGAGCCCTGGGCCTGCCAGGCAGCGGGGCGGGTGCGAGGGCCGCACAGCTTCCCTTTTGAAATCAGCTCTTTTCTAAGAACTGAAAAGGAGCAGCCGGCTGTGACTTCACTTTTCTTGGAACTGCTTTACATTACAAAACAATACGAAACCCTCATCGAGCTGGTCGGAGCCCCTGAGTTCCTATTCTTTCTGTTGCATGTTCTTGTAAAGCCGAAGCCTTACCGCAAAAGGCTTCCGCGTCAGGTGAGGCAGAAGGGGAGGCCACGGCCCGGGAAATGCTGGGCCTCTTTCTCCCCATGGGTCTGTGTCTGATCCATTGATCAAGGGAAAAGGACCAGATTCCAGGGTCACAGCAGGAGACCTGTCAGGTCACCCATGGGTGGTATTGGTAAATCTCAGGTGTCAGGGCAGAGAATGCTGTGTGTGTGTGTGTGTGTGCGTGTGTGCATGTGTGTGTGTGGTGCTGGGGACTGAACCCAGGGCTGGTGCACGCGAGGCAGGCACTCTGCCATCTGAGCTGTGTCCCAGCCCGGGGCATCTTCTTTATGAGCATGTAGCGGCGTCCTGGAGCCCAGGAAGAAGGGCACCACCAGGGCCCCAACCTGCTCGGGCTGAGGAGGGCAGAGGGCCAGGCCTCGAGGCCCACCTGGTCCTGCCCCTCCTGTCTGGCCTCGGCCTGGAGGTCAGCTTCCTTCACGGGAGGCTGCTGACGGGTTCTTGGGGACTGGAGTAGACACCCCTCGGAGTAGGGGTCTCTGTGGGTTGGCACGCTCGTTCTGAAATCATGGGACCCATCTGGGGTCTCTGTCGGAGGCCCCAGGGACAGGGCTGTGCCTGATTCGTCCCTGCATCCCTGCCCGGCATGACATTCCCGCCCGTCAGTCAAGGCAGCCTGGCTGGTGGGGCTGGAAGGTGAGCCCCTCAGTCCTTTGGAATCTAGCACCCCGGGCCTGCGGGTGGCCAGAGTGTGGGGCTGCTGGGAAGCACCGGGCGGGAGGGAAGGCCGCGGAGCCCCCAGGAGGGTCGAGTGTCGCAGAGATGGGAGTCCTCCGGGAACGGCTGGGGCTGGCTGTCTTGAACCACCAGCACCCCCTGCTGGTCGGTCGAGCCCTCGGAAGTGGGACGGCAGCCCCTGACAGAATACCAAGCCACAAAGCGGGGCCTGAGAGTTTCACAGCTCCGCACCTGGGATCTGGCTCCCTGTGGGAAAACCAGGAGGGGGCAGGTGGCTGGGTCGGGGACAGAGGGTGTCAGTGGGCCTGACACGGGCCCCCATCTGCCCTGTGACCGGGTGGCCTCGAGTGAGGATGATGGGGTCTGAGAGGTCAGGTCACTGTCCCCAAAGCTGCTGACCAGAATCCAGGCGGTCTCAGCAAGTGCCAGGAAGCACGTTGGCTCTGTGGGCCTTTGGTCACCGCGCTCCTGAGCGCCTGCCGGTCCCAGGCTGGGACACACCCAGGGAGCAGATGCAAGGTTGCGCCCCGCGCTGGGTGGGTCTTCTCTGGCCCACTCCCCCATCCGGAGGCTCTTTATTTAATTAAACCTGCAAAATCCTTGCTCCTGCAGCGACACTCACAGGTCCGGGGCTCAGGGCCTCCTGCCCACCCCGCCTGCCCTCCCGCCCCAGATGTGCGTCCATCCAAGGTCGCCAAGCCCCTCGCCCACTGCAGCAGCAGCTCCACGTCCAAAAATGTCACCCGGCCCTCATGTCTGCACCCGGCGAGGCACCACCCATCCTGAGCCTACTCGGGTGCCTGTCCGAGTGCGTCTGGCCCTTGCGTGCCGAGGCCTCAGGACTTTCTCACGTTGCCCGGGCTCATCAGAGGCAGCTGGCTTGCCCGCTCACCTGGCCTGCGCCGTCTCTCCCTGGCACCCACGTGGGCCTGCAGAGCCGGGCATTTAAGAGTCAGTCAGGATGGAGCTGCTGAGCCGCAGCCCCGGAGGGCCCCTGCAGTCCTAAGGAGCAGGGCGGTCACTCACCCCACAGGCCTCAGAGGAGGCCACCGGTCCCAGCCACCGTGGGCAGGGTGGGCTACTGGAGCGAGACCGGCCGCCTCCTCAGGTGAGTCTATTTAAAGATAGGAATGGCTGGTACCAGAGGGACCGGCGTGTCGCGGGCGGATGGCGTTGCCTGCCGTCCTGGAACAGCTGTGCCGACAGGGCGGCTGCTGGCCTTGCGGCGTGTAGGGCTTGAAGTGGGGCTGGTGTGGCTGGTGGTGTGGCCAGGATTGGTCAGTGCGCTCCAGGGTGCCTTCTGCCGCCGCCTGGGGTGGGCCGTGGAGAGGGGCGACAGAGTGACCCTGGGTGGGGAGACCTGACAGCCTGCCTCCGTCAGGTGACCAGGGTAGACTTGGCCTGCTCAGCCCAGAGGGCAGCAGGGGAGTCCTGCACCTGGGTCAGAGCCTGAGGCCTGGCAGCTGGGACTTGCCATCTTCTCGTTCCAAGATCAGCCCTCTGACCACTCACCTGGCCCTTGTAGGGA